GAAGACACTCAAAGGGAAGAGAGAGAAAGTTTATGGAGTGTCTTTCGGAAAGTTTTCGCTAGAGAACACTTAGGATGTGTTGTTGTGTTATGATGAAATGAGGGAAATGAGGGTGTACTTATAAGAGAAGTAGGGAGACATTTGACAGCTTGCTCCGTATGTTCGTACGATGTGTTTTGATGGAGGCCTGAATACTCAATACCATTTGGAGCAAGGTTGTCAACTACCTTTCTGATTTAGACAAAAAGATGGTCTGAAAATGGAAAGGAAATTTTTGGGGATTTGCTCCAAGGATAAATTGGCGGTGCTCTGACGGAGGCCTACACACGCAATACTATTTAGAGCAAAATGACTTGCTAACTTTACAGAATTGACAAAGAGACTCACTAGAAATGGAATGAAATGTTCTGGAGATATCAACATGGAGGAAACTGATGGTGTATTGTTAGAGCATTTCTATTTGGAGGAAGTATGTTAGCTAACTTTTTGGAATTAACAAAGAGACTCACTGAAATGGGATGGAGGCTTTTGGGGATCTACTCCAGAGGGAAATCGACAACACTCTGATGGAGCATTGCACACGCCATTCTATTTGGATGAAAATTCTAGCTACCTTCTCACATGAGACAAAATGAAGCCTTAAAAATAAAAATACTTGGAGACCAAGTTTCAGATTTTGGGCTGACATGAAGTGGTTTCAGACCTGAAACTCACACATGTGTTTGACTCATCCTAGTGCTCCATTGACTTTCCTCTTTGAGGATCTAATTGCATGTCAAACTCTCGTCAAAGGTTATTTATACAAGAATGACTAAACAACCATTGTACTTGCTCTAACACTTGGTTGCTTCGACACTAGATTGCTCTGAATAAGCGTACGTGCTCCGAATAGGCAGGCTGATACTGAGAAGAGCGGGAGAAGACATGTCTGACATGGAGAGCACTCTGTTAGGCATATCCGACAGCGAGGAAAGCCTGCGAATGGGTAAAAAATAATGGGTTTCTCAGGCCTTTGAGCTGGAGAAAACTTCTAAGGCATGAGGCTTGACTTTATGGGTCTTTTATGGGCTGGAACACATATTTTTTGGACTCCTAAAGAGTGAAGGAAAGGCTTTTTGGGTTGAATTCTTCATCACCTATTCATGCTTAATTCAATTAATTCTGAAAACCCTCCAAGTGGGTTTCAAATTGGTTCAAATTAAGGATGAGTGGGCCTATTTGATCACTCACGGATTAGAGTTTTCTGAGCGTGACTTGGGTTCATGAAACGAGCCCAATTTCGTCTCATGACAAAATTGTTGGGCTTGGACCCTTAAATGGGTCTAGTACCCTTAAATCATACAAATTCAGGTATCAACATCTGTAAATTGAGTGTTAAATATTTGACAAAATTTATGAAAATTATGGACTAAAATTAAAAACAGTTAAAAATTAAAGACTATTTATGGAAATTAACTTTTGTTTTTTTATTGATTTAGTCTCTAAGCTTTATATGTTTTCAATTTTGATTTTTAATTTTCACAGATTTTGTCAAAATATTTAACACATAGCTAACGGAAGTCCAGGACTAAGTGGATTTGAGAGTAAACCTCATGAACTATTTGTGAAATTAACCCTAGATATATTTATAGTTTTTTTTTACAATATTCTCTAATTAATTGAAAAAGTAAAAAGAACATTTTATGTCCAAAAAAATATCTTAAGATACTCATAAGATGTTTTTTAAAACTCGAATTTATATATCTTTCGATTAATAGTGGATACTAGTTGATTTTATCAATTTTTGAATACAAAAAAGAGCACAATTTGGCCATTAGCTTTTAGTCTCTGTCTTTTTTTTTAAAGCTGAATTTGACGATTTTTTCTCTCACAATTAGATGATTGTTTTCTTTTATATTTTTTCTTTTCTTTTCTTTCCTTTCTTTTAAATTGTTTTTTGGATAGCTTTTCTTAGAGGTGTCAAACGTGCCGTGCTGGGCCGGCACGACACGCCCAACACCTGGCCCATCAAGGGTCTGGGCCGGGCCTGAGAAGAAAAACTCAGGCCCGGTCCAGGCCCTTGGCCCTAGTCCATTAGGGCCAGGGTCGGGCCTGGGCCCAGGCCCTTCACAGGCCGGCCCCGGCCCTTGTATTTTTTTTTAAATTAAAAAAATATATATCATATGCCCCCAAAAGATGTGATTTTATTGAATTGACATAATAGGAATAAGTACACATAAATGACTACCTCGTTAAAAACCTTGCTAAGTAAAACCCGTGGGGAGATCGGGACAAAACCTTAGCGAAGGAAAAAAGAGTGCAGTAGCTAGGAATAGTAAATTACAAACCTAAGTGCTTCCAGAAGATTCAGTTATTTCTAAGTTAGAAAAATATTCTTGCATTGAATCATCTGTGTATTGTTGTTTTCGTCTTCTGGCATCTTCCCAGTCTTTAATGCACATTAGCCCTTCTAAGATATCTGGATGCATTCTGCTTCTCTTCTCGTCAAGAATTCGGTTGCTTGCGCTAAAAGCTTGCTCCGATGCTACCGTTAACACTGGAGCTGTCAAAATGTCACGAGCTATTACGGACAGTGTTGGAAAACGATCGGTCTTACTTTTTCACCACTGTAAGATGTCTAGTTTGTCGTCATCGATTACAAAATTTGCTTCAAAATATTTTACTAGTTCGGTAGACGCTTGTGTTGATGACGATCCTGCCGTTTTCTCTTTCTTCTTCAAAAAACTCCACGATAATCCTTTAGGCCCCGAACTGCTAGTTGACGTCAAAGTTCCCTGTTCTTTTTGACATGTGCCGTATTTTGCTTCATACAAACTAAAAACCTTTTCTAACATTTTCTTAGCGTCAGTAATTGTTAGTTGCAGATCTATTTCTAAATTCTCTGCGATAGCAGTAATCAATGATTTAGTTCCATCTACTCCATACCAAGGATCTAAAATGGTTGCCAATGCATATAAAATAGGACAACCTGACCAATAACTTTTAAATTTATTTTCCATTAACTTAACTATATTTCTAAAAAGTTATGTATCCCTATAATAAGAAAATGTTTCTGAAATATTAAATAGTTGATGTAAAGCTAAATGTGCAGTAGGATAATAAACTCCAGAAAGTAATTCAATAACATTGTAAAAAACTTCTAGAAATTTAAAAAAAATACTCAGCAATTTGTCAATCAGGATCGAAAATTAAAATTTACTCGTTCTTATTGTTTACGTATGTCGTGATAAGCTGTGAATACGGGAGTGCTGCCTTCAACATTAAATATGTTGAATTCCACCTATGTCTCACGTCAGTTGGAAACTTTCTTGGGCGCATATGACTGTTCCTGCAATATTGTTTGAATTCTTGGAGCCGAGCTCCAGAACTAGATATGAATGATAATGATTCTCTAATATTTGTAAGATTAGCCGAGATATGTTCAATTCCTGCCTGGACTACTAAATTAATTATGTGACATGCACACCGTTGATGAAAAATTTCCCCTCCGAACGCTAGTTTCAAACTATGTTTAAACATGTTAATTGTAGCTGTATTAGCTGACGCATTATCAAAAGTAATTGTTAAAACTTTATCTTCTATACCATAAAACCCAAAAATTTCTATTATTGTACTAAAAATAGATGATGCGTTATGAGGATATGGACATAAATAAAAACCAATTATTCTTTTTTGTAAAACCTAATCGTCATCAACGTAGTGCGCTGCGACTCATAAATATCCAGTTTTGATTGCACCCCTCCCACAGGTCAGAAGTGCAAGAGACAGTATCATTAAAAGTCCTAAAATTATCAACAAGAGATTGTCTCATTGCATAAAATACTTTCATGCGATCAGAACGAGTTGTGTTTCTACTTACCCGTTTAAATTGTGGGCAGAAGGCTGTTTGGCTGAATTCTTCGAACGACGCATCATCTGCAAAAGAAAGAGGCAATTCGGCACTAGCTAGAAATTTAGCTAGTGCCTTACGAGCACGTTGTGCATTGTATGTAAAATTTTTTAACCCCTGTGTTGTGAGTGATAGTGTTTGTTGGAGGGAGTCCACACTCCCACCTTAGTGCAATGGTAGACATACTTTCTAATGTCTATCCAGATGACCAGTACCCCCACCCTTTTTATTAGAAACATATTTTTTACAATATTTACACACGGCACGAATTTCCATCTCACCTGTTTTTGGATTTTCAAAGAGACAAGTTGAGAGATAGAATGAGAGTGAGATGAGAAGTTGAGAGTGAATTATTGTGTGAGATTTAGGGTGGAATTAAGGGGCATTTATAGGAAATTTTTGGGTGGATTTTCGGATTGCGGCCCATGACGGGCCTAATGGGAGGCCCATCACGTGCCAAATGGGAGGCACATGACAGGCCAAACGGGAGGCCCGCCACGTGCCGCCAGTTGGGCCCGCGAGGGGCCCACTGGAGCATTTGAAATGGGTTGTTTTATGGGCCATTTCGCGAGCTTGGACCGGGCCGAACAAGGGCCGAATCAGGGCTTGGGATGGGCTGAACACGGGCCGGGCCGCGAGCCTCCACAGGCTAGGCCGTGCTTGGGCCGCAGGCTGAGAAGCTTAGGCCCAGCCCTTGCCCATTACACTTGCCGGGCCGGCACGGCCCGTAACAGTAGCGAATCGGGCCGTGCCGAATCTGACACTATTACGGGTTGGGACGGCCCGGCCCATTTGACACCTCTAGCTTTTCTTTCCATTATCTTCTGTACTATAGAGTTTTTCTTTTCCACTCTCTATTTTGTCGTCTGATTATATATATATAACCCCGTGCACTTGTTTATCCACACTCAATTTACTGTTTTTGCAATAGTGTTGTGATGTTGTTGCGCTTTTTCTTTTTGCTTCTTCCGTTTGTGGGTGGTGGGCCTATTGGTCGTTTTGATTTTTTTAAAGTGATTGGATAAGTCTGTCCCTGTGGTCTTGGTTTTTTCTTTATTTCTGCCGTGGGTGTTTTTGTCTATTCACCCGTGTTAAGCCCTAACACGTTTTCTTCTTCGGTTTTGTTTTCCTCCTCCATTTCTGTCTCGCTCTTTTTTTTGCCTTCATCTCCTCATTTCGTTCTTCTCCTTGGCTCGACATTAGTTGGGATCCTGGGGGTTTTCCTCTGTGTTGTTTGTGTGTTTGTCCTTTTGGTGGGCTTTGGGCGGGAGTTCACTTTTTCTTCTTCGATTTTGTTTTCCTCTGCCGTTTCTGTCTCTCTCTCTCGCTTTTTTTTTTCTTTGTCTTCATCTCCTCATTTCGTTCTTCTCTTTGGCTCGATTTTGGTTGGGATCTTGGGGGTTTTCCTTTGTGTTGTTGGTGTGTGGGTCCTTTTGGTGGGGTTTGGGCGGGAGTTTAGGGATTTTATTTTCTTTCTCCTTTGGGTTCTGCTGATGTTTTTATTTGTGATTATATGCTATTTTCGTCCCTTTTTTAATTATGTTTCCTATTTTGTGGTTTGTTTGATTACTGTTCTTGGTTCCGTTCTTTATGCATTATTCTTTGATTATATATTTTTGCTCTAATTTTTGTCGGTTATTTTTATTCAGTTATGTTTATAGTTGCTATAATAGCTTTATTTATCATCTTCTCTAAAGAATTTATTTTTGCAGGTGTTTTATCTACTTTCGTGGCTTTTCTTCTGCTCTATTTCACGCTGCATAGGGATAATGTGAGATTTTTTCCCCTTTCATTTATTGTGCTGATGATCTTGATTTTTTGGGTTGTCCTTTGATTTGTTAGGTTGATGACTTATTCTGATTTTGTTACGGTCAACTTTAACCAATTTTAGGGGAAAACTTTTTGCCCCTTTTTTCGTCATTTTTTTCAGTCTTTCCCTTGCTTCTGCCTTTTTCTATTTCTTATGTTGTTATTGGTAAAATTATCCTTAAAGCTCCATCCCTTTTATTACTTAATTAATAAAACCACTCTTCATCAATACGTGTTATATTATTATAGGTTGTTTACTGTCATGATAACTTTTCTACCTATTATTTATTAATGCTGTTGGTTGCATAGATTTATCATGTATGTTTTCGTGCACCTGTTCTCCTCCCCGTTCCATTTCATCCTTTATCACTGTCCATTTTCCTTCATTACTCCTCATTTACTGCTTACCGTTTTATACTTATGTGCCTTTGATTCTTTCTGTTTGTTGTTTTTTTTACCCATGACCATTCACTCTTTCACTCCACAGTCCATCATTTACTGCTGTTGACTCTTTTTTTTCTATCCTTAACTAGCTGTGTTCGTTCCTGGTTGGTTGATATCTTACGCTTAGCACTTTTTTCACAGTGATCCAGGTTCTATTAATAACTTCTGCTCCCTTTTTTCTCATGTTTTTAATGCTTGCTCCCATGTTATTAATACTCGCTGTTGTCTTTTGATATTGGTTTTATCATTATTCAATGGAATTGAAATGTTTATTTGTATTTTATCTTCCTGCCATGTTTTTAATATATGCCGTTGTCTTTCTTCATTGCTTTTGTCGACCTATGGCTTTACTATTTTATCATTATTCAATGGCATTAAATATTTATTTGAAATTATTCACTTTTTTGCATTATGTTTAAGCATGTTTTTAATTTAGATGTTTTAGTTTTACTTTCTTTTTCCCATTTCTTTTATTTTTTTCCCTATATTTTTTTTCTTTGTCCCCTTTTTCTTCTTTCCTCTCTCCCTCATAGTGATGATAGGCAAAAATAAGTTTAGGACATTGAGTTCAATATAGTTTTTCAGGAATTGCCGTGAATACATCTTTTCGATTTCATTTTATTTTTTCATACCTTTTCTAATCCAGAGTCTTTGGCTGTTTTGTTGTTCCTATTTTGGTTCATTTTTATGTTCTTACTTCCCTTAAATCAGTATTAAATGTAAGGATTACTTATATGTCTATATATATATATATAGGCAAAGTCTCTGGTCAGGCACTTGGAAGTGCCTGACCAAACCGACACTTGTATAAATATACATGAAGTGTGTATATTTATAGTAATTAAGTGAACATATATCATAAAAATATGTATATTAATGTTAATGAACGTAAGCGACAATGTATATTTTTAAAGGAAACATGTATTTTTTATAGCAATTAAGTGAACACGTAACATATTAATATGTATATTGCTTGATTTGTTGTATTTCATGTTATTGAACGTCGTTTGGAATTTTTTTTTTTTTTTTTACGTTATGCTGTAGGAAACGGCAATATACATGTATTTCTTATTTAAATTAAGTGAACATATAACATAGTAATATGTATATTGATTGAGTTGTGGTAGTTCATGTTATTGAACTTGCTTTGGAAGTTATTTTTGCTTAAAAAAGTCTTTAGTCATTTGGAGGTTGAATATTGTTGTCATTCTAACAGGTTGGAAAGAATTAGTAGGGAGACACAAATAGGAGATTGAATATAGAAAGAATAATGAGGATGAAGTAAATTGTAAAATGCCATGAGTTAGAAAATATGTAAACGTGCACATGGAGTAGCAGAAGCCAAACAGAGACCAAGATGTATATTTGCTGTCTGAGATATGTGTATCCGATATAAATAAGTGAGTAACTGACCTAGTAATATGTACAATGACTAAGTAATTATTGTTGTTCAATAAAAGTTGTATTGTAGTTTTCTTGAATACTCAAAAAAGCATGATGACTGTCTCAATATTAGATTTTCAGAATATTTTATTTTTCTAAGAAATAGATACTACAAACGACCACAAGTATAATCGTCGTTTTAACTTAGATGATCGTGAATGCAACAATGAATATCAATGTCACTTATTTTGTACTTGTATTTAAATTTTGGAGTCGCGAAGGTTTTTTTATTTATTTTGCATTAATAGTAATGGATGTACTTAATTTTTAAATCGTTGAAGATTTAGATTTCAAATATTTAAAGCAGCGATTTTTTTAATTGTTGTTATTTAAATTTCCTGACTTCTTTAAAATCATCAGCTTTGTTAATGATGCAAAGAGTTTCTGTAGCCGAAGGTTGTAATACTTAGACCATGAGCATTGGCTCATGAGTTTGTAAATGCAAAACTGCAAGATTTACAAATATTAACTGTGTCTATCACGGGAGATGATTGAAAATAGAGAAATTATAAACAGATTTAATTATTTATAAAATACCAAGTTTAATCTAATATTGTAATTACTACTTTCAAGTTTTACAAGATTAGAATGCCTTCTCTATGATAAAAGGACAACAACTACAAGGGATTTATCAATATCTAAATACGTATCAGTCTAAATGTCACAATAAAAGTTTGTGAGAGCTAGTAAAAAATAAATAAATCAAAAAATCAAAACCTCGCATTGAAAGATTAAGAAATAAATCCCTAAAAACATAGACGTGATCAATGACAAAGGCTATATGCATGATGATTGTTTCCTGTATTTGTTTAACAAAAAGAGCCAAAGCAATAAGTGAATTGTACAATCTATGACCATAACATCTATATGACGATTTCAAGTAAAAACCATTCTATTTCATGCCTTCAGCAAGTGTATGAGGAATTGGTCCACTAAGTTACTGTAGACCGGTGTCAGAGAAACCAATCGGAGGAAGAGGGGAAAGTGGAAGAGAGCGGGGACATCGAAACTCAATTGAAAAAAAAATGACGCTCCCTTTCCTGCCAAAACGACCGCATGTTGGTCAAAAATTTTCACCCAAAATGATGTCGTTTTGGTTGAAAGCGAGCGTGCACAGTGATTCATTATCGTTTTGGTTGAAAGCGAGCGTGCACAGTGATTCATTTTGTGCCTTCTATTATGTAGATAAAACTATTTTCTAAAGCCTAATATAAAAAATGAAAATGAGAAATTCTCTTTTCAGCCATTCATTTTAATAGCATAGAACAAGAATTAGGGTTAAAAAAGTGAAAATAGAACAAGAAATTCTCATGTTGCCTGATAAGAAGCTATGTGTCGTTTCAGTAATTGCAAACAAAAACTGGTACTAGGGTGAGAAACATCAGCTGATTAAGTATGTCTTGAAAATTATACAATACCAAAAAAACTAGTCAAAATTTAGAATATTAGTATATCATCAAATCTACAACCAGCATCATAGATTCAAAATTTAAAAATGAATGAAAACAAAACTAATGGCGAGGGAATAAAAAAAGAAAGTAGTATAAAAAAATTGATGGAAACTAGAGGTTTACTATGCCTCAGATCCAATAGCAATGTGAAACATAAAGAAGCCATTGCAAAAGGTGGCCATAACTCTCACTTGCACTTAACACCAGCTTCAGCAGCTCGGCGGGCCTTTTTTTCAGCCAGAGCCAACAAGTTGCTTGAGATCCCATCGTCTTTTCTTATATATGCAAATCTAAGAAAGCACAAGACTCTTAAAGTACCACAACCTTAAATTCTGACCCACTAAAATAAATAAATAAATATATATCTATATATATTTCTTAAGCTCAAAATCTTGGGACTTAAAGAAAAGTTATGGGTCAATTGATCCAAAAGCTCCACAGAAATTAGATCCAAAGTAAAACCTAATTAATAACAAGAACGTTGAATGTCGATCACAACAGAGCCTTTACAAAGGTGATTTCTTTCTCATTTCCAATCAACACAGATTCTCGATCAAGATTCATTCAAGAAAAGAACATAAAACAATGTATGCGTTTGGAACTCGTTTCAAAATGATTTCGTTTTCTGTATGAAAATGAAAATGAAAACGTTTTCATTTCTATTTTAGAATCATTTCTGAAAATGCGTTTGGTAGTTTTATTCTGATATTATTTTCCGTTAAAAAAAAATTGAAACTGCGTTTGGTGGTTTAATTTTTAAAAACATGTAATAGTATTCTTTTTAACCTTTTTCTTTCATCATTTTTGTGAACACTCACTGAAACAATTTAGCAAACACTTAAACAGCAAACTTATTGAACCCAAAACACATACATAACGTTGACATCTACTTCAAATGGAAATAAATCAGAACTATCCTACTCTCTTTCATTATATTAAAGTGTAATGGTTGAGAACGTGAATGAGAGAAGTTTATAATTATGATTAATATTCAAGGATATTAATCTCCAATATCTTCTCAAATCTCACCTGATATGAGAGAGAGAACAATGTTCTCACATCTCTTGAGAAATTTCCAATAGAGATGGTCTTTTAAGCCAAGCCTCCTAATGATATAATCAAGAAACGAAATTGGAGTAACTGGGTTCATCTTCCATTCGAGTGTTGAGAGCACCAGGAGCTCCATTCTCTTAATCGTTTTCGCTTCAAACACGAACTTATTCTCTTCCACCTAACCACACGAAAAAAGATTCATTTTTTTCTTTTTCAATTAATTTTCAAGGATTTTTAGCCAGAACCAGGAAAAGGTTCATACGAATTATAATGAAGAACATACTTGGAAGTCTAATAGAAGAGGCACTTGGGTCTCTTCAACTTTGGCAGAGAGAGAGAGACAAGCCACAAAAGCGAGGTGGGCCATCCATGGCTTCTCTCTCTGAAACTCGAAGCTGAGGAGAAACCATGGTGAGCACGGAAGATCCCTCTCAGCCGCCGGTAAGCCTTCCTCAATCAAGCCACCGATCCTTGGCATGTGAAGCCCATCCCCACCCGAGGCGGCGATCCCCGGGCGCATATGGAGGAAGCCGGCGGCGGCGAGGTGGCTGCTGAGGAGGTCAATGAAGCTCGAGGAAGGTCGACGGGTTTGGGAGTGCTCGTGCTTCTTTCTCTTGGGAGTGCTCGTGCTTTTGAGAAAAAGAGAGGTCGTTTGAGAAACAAACTTTTTATCTATACCGTCCAAATTTCAATCCGACGGCTACAATTATTGAGCGGACTGATCAGGCATATTTCATATGCCGGATGAGAGACCATTCCTATATATATATATATTACTTTCTCTTTTGTACTATTAAATACTATTTTTTTTTCACATCCTCTTTGTATTTATGATATTTTTCCGTGATTTTCTGTCATTAACAATTTCTAATATTTTTACTCTTACTATTTGAATTAAAATTTGTTTTTCTATAATATTATTACAATATAGTAGTAGAAGAAACTCCATCTAAACTATTTATCCATACTAAGTTTATTATTTTGACAATAATGTTATACCGATTTTGTCCCTTTTCCTCTTCTTCTTCTGTTTGTAGGCGATGAGCCTGTTGGTTTTTTAGATTCTCCTGGTGTGTTTGGACGATTATGTTTTCATGTTAGTTTTTTTCTCATATACTCATTTCCAGTCATCTTTGTTTTCTTTTTTGCTCCTTTTTAGCTTGGCTTAATCTATATTTTTTACTCCAGTTTTCGTTTGTATCTGTTCCGTATTTGCCAAAGAATTCTCATTTCTTCCATCTTTTGTTTATTCACTTGGTAGTTTTTGAATAATTTCATGTCTTACTCCGGTTCATTATTTTTTGTGAAATATACATTATAATGCGGATGATGAATCAAATATCTTATAAAGTATCGTGCCTTTGTGCAGTTGCTTATAGTAGCCACTCATAAAATGGAAAATTCAAGACTTGAGCCATGATTGCCATATAAAAATACCATGATATTGACGCCTTATGAATCTCCTTTTGGCTACTACTTTTTTCCCTCCTTTTTTTGTCCTTTTTTCTGCCCTTTTTCTGTTTTTGTTGATTTCCATTGGTTTAGATATTAGCATGGGCTTTTTTTTTACATGCCATCAGTGACTATTACTAATGCTAAATATATTAACCAATTATATTAATGTCAATATTACTTATTTATGCTTCTTTATATTTTTTTCCTATGTACTTATGCTATTATATTATTACATAGTGCTGCTGCCTAAGGTTAATTAAAATTTGCTGTCATTAACAAAAATTAGCGATATATTCTTATTTTATCCTTTACTTCATAAAAAAAATGATTTGTAGGTTTTTTTCCCCTACGAAATTACAAAAGTATAAAATACAGATACTTTAGGTGTTAAATTTGCCAATGTGTATGCACATATGTAGATGTTAGGTTTTTTCCTAACATATCGCAATCAATAATAAATAATTTAATTTATCTAATTTCTTCTCCCTTTTCTTTATTTCCTAAATGTTTCTATGTCATAAACACAGATGGATAGGAGAAATATTCGAAAAAGATCATCACGGTAAAATCAATCTACATCGTGCCATTTCTCAAATGAGCCAAGATTCTACGAATACAACTAATAATCTTCAAAACCAGACAAATGAAGCTTTTCAAGCTACATCGGCAGCACGATCACGATCTAAATTCTACACAATGCTTGGCCATTTTCAGTGTCAAGAAGAAGTTCCCAAATTATTCCCCTCAACATCCGACAATTACAATGAACATCGTAATTTCCTTACCTATATTAACCATTATGTTTAAATAACAATAAAACTATTTGTAGGAACAATATTCATATTTTGCTAGTTTTATTACCATTTTTCTTTTCCTTTCATAGGTGCTATTAATGCATACATTCATCTCAGAGATTGTTCCTATATATGTTGTCATTGTGGTGCTTTATTTTAGTTCAGTGAGCGAGTCAAAAATAGTAACCTCATTGAATATAATCTTTGTTGAAGAAATGGAAAAATAACATTGTCCTTAGTTAAGAAAACACCTCCTATACTGGATAGATTACTTGATTATCATGGAG